TGCAGTGGTCCTGTGTTTCTGCAGTGGTCTTGTGTTTCTGCAGTGGTCTTGTGTTTCTGCAGTGGTCATGTGTTTCTGCCATGCTCTTGTGTTCCTGCAGTGGTCCTGTGTTTCTGCAGTGGTCTTGTGTTTCTGCAGTGGTCATGTGTTTCTGCAGTGCTCTTGTGTTTCTGCAGTGGTCTCGTGTTTCTGCAGTGTTCACGTGTTTCTGCAGTGGTCATGTGTTTCTGCAGTGGTCAAGTGTTTCTGCAGTGGTCTTGTGTTTCTGCAGTGGTCTTGTGTTCCTGCAGTGGTCCTGTGTTTCTGCAGTGGTCCTGTGTTTTTGCAGTGGTCATGTGTTTCTGCAGTGGTCCTGTGTTTCTGCAGTGGTCTTGTGTTTCTGCAGTGGTCTTGTGTTCCTGCAGTGGTCATGTGTTTCTGCAGTGGTCATGTGTTTCTGCAGTGGTCCTGTGTTTCTGCAGTGGTCATGTGTTTCTGCAGTGGTCATGTGTTTCTGCAGTGGTCTTGTGTTTCTGCAGTGGTCACGTGTTTCTGCAGTGGTCTTGTGTTTCTGCAGTGGTCCTGTGTTTCTGCTGTGGTCCTGTGTTTCTGCAGTGGTCATGTGTTTCTTCAGTGGTCATGTGTTTCTGCAGTGGTCCTGTGTTTCTGCAGTGGTCATGTGTTTCTGCAGTGGTCATGTGTTTTTGCAGTGGTCCTGTGTTTCTGCAGTGGTCCTGTGTTTCTGCAGTGGTCCTGTGTTTCTGCAGTGGTCATCTGTTTCTGCAGTGGTCCTGTGTTTCTGCAGTGGTCCTGTGTTTCTTCAGTGGTCACGTGTTTCTGCAGCTCTTCATGCTGACCTGTTGAAGTAGCTGCAGGGGCCACAGGTCAGTGTGAGGCTGCCTACAGCAGACAGACCAATGAGGAACTACAAACTGCACGTGTTGAACCATGAAGGAATTTCCTCCTTGGTTATGAAACTCTTARACAACTCAGAGCATGAAGGAGTGAAGGAGCTCTGCTCTGCTTCCAGACAGCTGGACCTGATCCTCCTTTCTTGTCTTTATGGAGAACTTTTRCCAGGTTGTATTTTCTGTGCAGTGGAACAGCTCTCTGTCCTTCTGTCTGACTTAGAGCTCACGCATTTGGACTTCTCCAACTCCAACATGTGGAGAAAAGATTTAGACATTCCTGATGTGGAAACAAGACAGGATGTTGTGGTGCAGAGAAAACCTTTCAAAATAAAATGCAAAATTAAATAAACTTCAGAGAGCACTGACAAATGTGGAAGTTTGACATGATTTGCTTGTTTAATAAACCAAAAACTTCCCAAATATACACAGAATAGAATTCAATACATTTTTATATTAACATAACTCTTATTAAAATCTAAAAGATTTTTATTTATCTAAAGACACAACTGATCTCACAGGAACTAAAGTGTTAAGTTGTGAAATGTACAGAGAAGACAGGAAGACTGACTGCTGAGTCAGCATTCTTGTTTTTCTGTTGAGCTGCTTTTGTTTGTGTTTTTAATGGAATAGTTTCTGCAGATGCTGAGAGATTTAAAATATCAAACTGTTCAGCTTCATGCTGTGACTCCTTGTGTTTGCAACTTTTTAAACTTTCTGATTGTTTTACATTTACAAAACAAATCTCTTCAGAAAACAACAGATCTTTTCAGTCTTTAAATCCGTTTTTTTAAATCTGCTTCAGCTTATTGTTTATTTTTTGTCTTATTATACTTCTTAAAGTACATTCTTTGTAAGTTTTAGCTCATATTTATAATTATGCAAAATTTAACTTTAAATTTGGTTTGTTACATTCAGCTTTTAAATGATAACATAATGAACATTTATGTAATCCTTTATTTTACATTGAATAATTGATTTCACCTCAACATTAAAGAAATTTTTTTTGTTGAAAGACCCATTTATACATATACATATATATGAAGTACATATGTACATACAGTACATTGTGTATATAAATATAAATATATATGTGTGTGTGTGTGTGTGTGTGT